GTATTACACTAAACTCAGTGACTCTCCTTTTGCTCCCACAGCAAGGCGGAGAAGCATGTACAAACCTCCTTTCCACCGACTCCGGTAAGGCAGATAACCTGACTCCTTTCACTTTCTCCTGAAGCAGACAGAGAACCTATCTCATTTCCCTTCCTCCTTAAGCAGAGAGAGAACCTCGATCAATTGCTGAAGTAGACATCTCCAGAACCTCCAAGGAACTAGGGACGACAACCGGAGAAGACGACGCAGATTCTTGCTTGGAGCAACCTTCGTGAAACCCTCACAAACTCCCCCTTATAAGATCCTCTCTCTCCCCCTTTCTTTTCCTCTCCTCTTGGCTCTCTCAGTTTAGGACAACAGCAAAAGATCACTTCTTGAGTAAACAAGAGAGCTTATAAAGAAGAGCTTTAAATTTGCCCTAATTTATAATTAATTGTCTGATCGTCCTGTACGATCAGTACAAATGCAACTCAATCAGCCAGGACAATCTGGAGGAGGCTGGACGATTAGAAGGTTTGTTTGTTCTGATTGTCTAGGACGATACGACATCGTCCTGTACGAATAATACAAATCGTCGAATATCATCCAGACAATCGCTCTGTTCGGCCACACTTTACCTGTCTGGACGATGAAGAAATAACTGATCTTATAGGACGATTCCACAATCGTCCTGGACTATTATTTCAAAATGTTGAATATCGTCCAGAATACGCCCTGGATATATGTTTGGATGATTAAAAAATAACTGATCGTTCAGGATGATTTATGGATCGTCCTGTACGATTAGTTCAAAATATCAAGTATCATCCAGAACATCGCCCTGGTCGTCCAAGAAGAAATTAAGGTTTGTATAACTGATCGTCCTGGACGATATGATCATGCAAACAAATTTTAATTGCTTCCATAATTATCATATTAACTTATGCATAATTGTAATTAATCATCCAAGACATCATGATATCCAAAAATAAAACATACCTAAAAGATTTGGCGGCTGATTCTTTCTGATTTGAGCCTATCATCCAGGACGATGCTAATATCTTTTAGGACGATTTTATTAATTGTGGCTGATTTAATCATAATATTCTAATTAGGGTTTCTGTTTTTAACTGATCGTCCAAGAAGATTTGTGATCGTCCAGGAAGATTTGTGATCATCCAGGACGATCAAAAACAGAAAACTTTAAAAGCAGACAATTTTTTCTTGAGTTTGTGTGTACAAAGTTACTTAGCATAAGGACCAATTTTGTTATAATTTACTCAAGAAAAAGGAAAAGACCCTTGACGTACACTTATAGATTGACTCAGTCCTAATCTATCCAATCTTGAGCTGGCTTGATTTGCAATTTAATCTTGTGAACCTGAAACGTTAGTAGGCAAGACAGTCGTAGAAAAACATAAGTATCAGAAATATTTTCTATCATCAAAATTATAATTCATGAATTCAGATTCACAATAATTTTCCCAATACATGTTGTTGGAATGTAAGCCTCAACCTTCTATTGAAAACGATCAACTCAAACAAAATTAGATTTCTAAAATTTAAAGTCCAACATAGGATAATTTGAGCACCTCTGAATTTCCCTTAGAATCAAGTGCTCCTACTTCACCTTCTTTGGCTCTCATTCCAAAATTTGATTCTAAGTTGATCCATTCTTTCTTGAATTTCCTAAAGGTCAAAACATTTAAACTAGACTTTCATGGATTCTAAAAAAAAATTAAGCTTTAGCCAATGTCTAAAATGACTTTCCAAAGAAAAAAAATCACTGGTTTAATCAAAAGTTTTCTCAAACACTAAAGTTTGAGATGTAATTAACCATAGGGGCTTGCCCCTATGAACGTCTGTACCCCAGAAAGAAATAAATCTCATTCAACCAAACATTAAATGGGGGAATCTCTGTTAAAATTGTAAATTTTATCATTGAGTCTATAAAAAATGATTTCTTAACCTTCAGGGTAATATGTCATCATTCTTATGCTGTACTCAATCATAAAGTATGCAATCTGTTTGAGGACAACAAAATTCTCCAATAACAGGAGGAACGAGAAGCTGGCTCCAAGATATTTTGGCTCTTATGAGATATTAGAGAAAATTGGAGCAGCGACGAATCGTTTGAGGTTGCCCCCAACCACCACCACAGACCTAGTGTTTCATGTATCACAGTTGAGGAGAGTATGGGGGATCACATTGTGTTCAGAGGTGCCAGCGACATTAACTAAAGATTTGGAAGCGGTATTGGAATCCCTTGAGTTATAAGGGGTGCACTAAGGGGAGGGAGGGATCAAAGAAGTGTTGATCAAGTGGAGGAACCTTCCCGATTATGATGCTACATGGGAGACTTATGAGAGGGTGCAACATCAATTCCTGCCCCCCTTGGGGTTGGGTCATGATGTAAGCAAACTAGAGAGAAAAGCCAAGTTGGAGAACACAAGGAGAAAATAAAATCAAACTCGATTCACTATAGCTTGCAAACAACCAAACAAACATTCAGATAAATAAAAGTAAAGTCAAACGAAATAAAATAATAACATAAAAACGCTATCCTCAGAACAACCGACTAGCGGCTTCCTCACATGCAACGAGAGTAGAAAAATATATGAAAATTGTGCTTAGGCTTGCAAACCGAGGGTCCACCACTGCAAAAGGGTCCAACATCCTACCAAACTCCTCCAGCAAATGTCTCCAAATTTCAGCCAACAAACAACTTCCAAGAGCTCAAGAAGAAGGATACAGGTGGAGTGGAACTTATGTAGAGAAGAAGAGGTTAGAAGCCAAGACGAAATAGAGAAGAGGAAAGGGGGTGGAACAAGCTCTCAAGCTTTTCCAAGAGAAGAAACCCTCAGGTTTTTAAGCAACTTATCTCAAGATAATAGTGGAACTTATGTAGAGAAGAAGAGGTTAGAAGCCAAGACGAAATAGAGAAGAGGAAAGGGGGTGGAACAAGCTCTCAAGCTTTTCCAAGAGAAGAAACCCTCAGGTTTTTAAGCAACTTATCTCAAGATAATCAACCACCTTTCAAGCCTCAAATCAGCCCCTATATATAGGAAGAAAGGGGGAAACCAAACAACCACCCACCTCTATTCAAACCAATGAAAAAGAGGGAAATAAAAGGCCAAGAGACATTCCAAACAGCAGCTGAAAAGACATCCCAAATACCAGCCAAATTCATTCCAATCCAGCTTATAAGGGGCGGAACCAGCAGAAACCGAAGAGGCCAGGAAAAGCGGGGCGGAACCCCAACAGGCTTTTCACAGGAACAACAACAGCCAGGGGAAAACCGAGAAGACAAAGGGGAAGGGAAGGGACACAAGTCCACTTCACAATAATGAGCTAAATATAGAATAATACCTTTTTGATTTTATATTTATTCCTCCAATTATTGAGCTAAACTTCAGCTCAAGCATTAATGAGCTAACACCAAGTAGAACCCACTTTTTAAGCTCAACATCAAGCAACCAATGTCCAGCCCGTGAACAGCCAAGGCCCCAAACCGAGAACAACAAGCAGCCCAAGGACAAGAAGGATCCAAATGCAAGCAAACCCAAGGCTTGCCATGCCCAAGCACTTCCTACCATGATCATTGGATGCTCTCCATCATTGGATAGCTTAAAAAAAAACATAAAACACAACTAATATTGTTCAAAATACATCAAAACAAAATAGACTAAAAACATGAATGCATCAGGAAAACAAAAGATGATAAGGCCCACATCTTAGGGAAAAGAGGGGGGGGGGGGGGGCTGTTTTGAGTTAATTTTATGTTTGCTTTAAGTAGAAGTTTGTATTAAGGTTAGGACATCATGTTTGTTTGCTGAAATTGCTTTGTGTAGTTTTGTCGTTTTGGTCTCTAGCGGCGTTTAGAGATTTGGGAGAGAACGATCCTCCTCTCAAATTAAAGATCAATTGTATCTCGGTATTTTCCTTCCGTTTCTTCTATTATTGCAAGTTTTTTTTGCTGTTTTGCTTGATTTGTTTGGAATATCGTGATGAAAGATCGCTGAAATCTCAATATTGGCATGAAACACCAGTGCCTACAACTGTTTCCTATCACAATTATCATACTTAATTCATGCAAATAAGAAAGTCTTGATTGATTGAACTTTGAATGAATTGGATAAATAGTGCAGGCATGATGAATTGATCTCTTTATTAGTTGAAGATGCACCAATAAGGCTAGTAGGTAGATTCAATATGAAGGCATAGACAGGCGATACTAGAATTTATTGGAAGGTTCACAAGATGCAAATAATTTTTGGAAGAATATCTTAAGAGATTGAGAAGACTCAAATTATCAGGATAGATTTCATTTCTAGTTAATTAAGCAAAAAATAATTTTTGTTTTTATTTTGTTAGTTTTCCTAGGCATATAGTAAGTTGTGCCTATATAAATGCACCAAATTGCATTTCAAGAGAAGAGAAGGTATTTGGTCAGATTTTGGCGGAAACCCTAATTTGTTATATATATATATATATATTTCCTTTTGTGTAGTCATTCTAAAACTAGTGTATGTTCGAAGAAACTTTATTTGTAGTGATTCTAGGAAATCCTATCCTTTTATATATTAAAGATAACTTTATTAGGAGTTGTTAAGATAGATTGGTGTAAACTAGCGATAATACCCCATATAACACGGAACACCAATAAATGAAGAAAATGATTTTAGATAAGGCTGATATTGATGATAATGCGCAATAGCCTTCCTATGTTTTTTGCGAAGTTTGAGTAAAGAATAGTCAATTTTCATTTATTTATTTTCTTTAGTGGTATATATCATTTATGATATTCAGCTACTTACCAACTAAACTATGATTTAATAGATTCACTAGGAGAGAATTTGTCCTCACAGAGGCTATTATTTTGCACTAGCTGGTCCTCTTGTCCTATCCATTCATTGATAGAAAGGATGTGTAATTTTACAAATAATTTGAATATCTACCATTATTGTCATTATTCTAAATGTATATTATTTCTTTATGTATTTTTATTTTTGGTTTTTTAGACTATTTCGCAAGTTTGTTTTTGGAGCTGCGGATGAAATTGAGTTGAAGTTTGTGAACAGGTATATTTATCAACTTCAACGATATTGACATGGTTTAAAAAATTATGTTATTAACTATCTTTTTGTATTTTATAATCTTCTTTTGATATTGAGTGTGAATGCTATATTTCTTTCTTTGGCCAGGAGAAATTATGAGGATCTAAATCTACTCAGTATAATACTAAACCAAGAAATCAAAAGGTTGGCAACACAGGTACATTTCTCTCGTTAATGATTAATGTTTTGAAAGGTTATTTTCACTCTTTGGGGCTTGCTTTGGTATGGGGTGAGGAGAGCAGGGAGTGTGTTGATAGAGGGAGGGTATGGGGGGGGGGGTGTCTTGTCCCCAAATTGTTAAAAACGGGCCTTTGAAGTGAAGCACTGCAAAGCAGAGTTGTAATGTTTGGTTATCTGATGACATGTGTTTTTTGTGTAAAGCACATGCGTGGTAGCGCTGTGCGCTTTGAAGCAGAGCATATGCGAATGAGAGTGTTTCAGGAACTCATAGTATGAAGTGCATAACATTTACGAATGAGAGCAGTTTAAGAACTCACAGTATGCCTCATTTGTTCCGTCTCTCGCTAGTTCACTCAATTGCTGGTTACCTCGAAGTAGAAAAAGTATCGCCGATTCACATGAATGCAAAGGTCACAGTTGAAGCATGACTTTGGTCTTTTAGTTTCTCCATTTTCCTCTCGATCTTTAGGTATTCCTCCATTTTTTTCCTCAATCTCTTGCTCATGTAGATGTAGCACTCAACTCTCAGTCTCTCTGTTTTCTCCTCACCACTTCACTTCCCTCATGCAGAGGACCCAATTAATTGAGTTTAGCTCTAGATCTCACGAGTTATTCTTGATTTTTTATTTTCAACTATTCTTTCTTTTCTTAAATCCTTAATATATTTCATTCTACCTCTTTAGTCTTTTGTATCGATTAATTCTTTGACTTCTATCTGATTTATATTTTATTATTATTATTGCAGGATTGATTATATTTACTGAAATTATTTCTAGATGTGGGTTATGTTTGACTATTTAAATTATAGTTATAATTTTTAATTTCTCTTGGATTTTCAATTAGCATATCAATTCTTCTTGGGTGTAATTTATGTGCTCATTTCAATGCAATTATCGCTAGTTTTTATGGCATTTATTGTGGCATAATGGGAATTTCAACTATTAGAAAAGCGCCTCATTTGTTACCCATGGTAAGGAATGTTGTCTGTCAGTTCAATTAGCTCGCTTATTAAATTTAGCAAGTAATGTCTGCCTTTAGTTCATTTTGTGCATCGATTGGATCAATTAGCTACGATGATCTAGCTTGTACTCTGAAAAGATACACCACTGTAGACTTATAGAAGGGGGTTATATCTAACAGAAGGAATCTCTTTTTCACTCTTAATGCTTTCTTGTAGCTCTTTTCATCTTTTGAGAAGTCTGTTATTGTGGGCTCCGAAAATTCGGCCCCGGCCTCCGCTCGCTATTCTTTTTATTCGGCGAGGGAGTTTTAACTGAGTAAGTTCCGGGGTAAATTTTGGAAGGCAGATGGGTTTGTAGATAAGACACTACCCAGAGATTTCGCCCTCATTTTGCGAGGACTTTATGATCTGAGTTCTGGTTTCCTATAGGCGCAAGCCCCTATAGTTAATTACCCCTCCCGATCACGAGAGAGAACTTTCGATTA